CCTCCCCTCTCATGCTGTTTCTCTCTCTCTCTCTCTCAAATTCTCTAATAAATAAATAAATAAATAAAATCTTTAAAAAAAAATATAGTACCTAGCAATAGTATGTATGCATATAAGGAAGGAGCACAAGAGGAAGGGAAAAAGAACATTTAAAAAATGTTGTCTGCTATGTGCAGGACCCTTCATATGCTGTGGTTTCATCAAAAACAACATAATTATAATCTAAACTTCATAAAGATAATGAGGTAGGGGGTATTATCTATATTTTATGGAAGTGGAACCTGTGCAGAAGTAATACATTTACTAATGAAGTTGTAGATGTGAGAGCTGGGTTCTCCCCATGTTTGACTAACTCAGGGACTTGTGATAATTGTCCCAAATTGCCCCCACTCACTGAACCTCACTGAGAGTCCTGATCTGTGAATAAGCTGAGTGAAATAGACAGTCTTAATGACTTTCAGGTTTAACATCCTGTGACGCTGTGCAGTCAGTAACCTCAGATGCAGCACAGTGTAGTGTTTAAGAGTGCATGCTCTTGAGCCAGAGTGTTCATCACAAGAGTATTACCTGCTTGTGTGGCCTTGGGCCAGGAACTTCACTTCTCTGGGTGTCTCAGTTTCCTAACCTGTAAACTGGGGATAACAACAGTCCCTGCCTCATGTTGTATAGGGGGATAAATGAGTTAAATATTAAATGATGTCAATACTTATGTCTAGCACATAGTAATCACTGTGTTTTTAAAAACAGAAATACAGATTAATTCTAGTTTAAATGTAAAAAAGCAAAATCAGGTATGTTCTTAGTGTGCATTAAAATTTTAGTTTTTTGAGGGATTTAAAATTCTTATTTTGAAAATGTAATGAATGTTAGAATACGTCTCATTTGCTCTGTAGTACTGTTATACGAAGGGAGTATATGGGCATTCTAAGTAACAGAAAAACGTTTAGATTAAGGCCCACTTTGGAAATGTTGTTAGAAGTGATAATTGGCATTTTCACGCCTCATATTATTACCCTGTGGTAGAGCATGCAGATGTATACAGAGGATCATAAATATGATGTGATCCAGTTAGTTGAAAAGCAGTTAAACAGTCAAAAGGCAAATAGCACATATTTACATTATTTTTTTTCTTCTCAAAATTCCTTCTGTTGAAAGGAAAATGAGCAGAAAGCAGAGAAGATTGGAAAGAGGCAATGAATCAAGAAAACTAATAAACTAGGTTATTTTGGGAAGCCCAGGTGGCTCAGTCGGTTAAGTGTCTGCCTTCAGTCCTGGGGTTGAGCCCCATGTCGGGCTCCCTGCAGGGAGTCTGCTTCTCTCTCTCTCCCCCTCTGTCTCTCCCCATCTCTCGTTCTCTCTTTAATAAATCTTTTTTAAAAATAAAATAAACTAGGTTATTTTTATTTTAATAGCTCAGATTTTATTATTCTTCCATCTTTTCTGTGACCATTACTATAGATCCAAATGGTTTCTTTCTAGTTAGAATTGATTTTTCCCCCTCCCCGAGAGCTCAATTTTGGCATGTCCTCGCAATTTGAAAAAGCTGTGGATATTTTTATAATTATTTTATCAGAACATTTATTCTACTGTAAATGTTTAGAAGACTCCTACTTACATTGAAAAGTTTTTGCATGATAGCATATGCAAAAAATGCATATTGGGACTTCCTATGTTTTTCAAATTCTGCATAACAAAAGTAAATGCTATTTTAACAACAAATTTAAAGAATGTTCAGAGTTCCTTTTTGGAAGGGGAGTGACATGAAAACCTTACATTATTTTACATTGTTTTTTGCTTTTTTAAAAACTTTTAAAATAAATGTTTTCTTATGTTAGCCTTCCATAATTACTGAAAGTGTGTAAGAAACTTCACAAAATAGAAATGTTTAAATAACATTAATGAATTATTGATGGTCAGTTTATTGAAAGCTATATAATTTAGATAATTGTGTGTATATGTGTGTATAAACTAGAAATCAGTAGTAAGCTTATTTTCATAGAATTAAAGGTTCACTGTATCTTCTAAATATTCTTGACCCCTTGTTCTTTTTCTTTGGTAACAGCTTTATTGAAATACAGTTCATAGACCGTTCAATTCACCCATTTAAAATATACAGTTCAGTGGTTTTTAATATACTCAAAGTTGTGCAGTCATCACTGCAATTAGGTTTTAGAACATTTTCATCACTTCAGCATTCACCTCTCATTCCTTCCCAAATCCCTGTTGTTAAAATAGCATTTACTTTTGTTATGCAGAATTTGAAAAACATAGGAAGTCCCAATATGCATTTTTTGCATACGCTACCATGCAAAAACTTTTCAGTATAAGTAGGAGTCTTCTAAACATTTATAGTAGAATAAATTTACTGATAAAATAATTACAAAGATATACACTGCTTTTTCAGAGTAGCTGTATTCATTTCACATTCTCATCAACAATGTATGAAGGTTCCTGTTTCTCCACATCCTCACTGTCTGTGTGATTATAGCTATCCTAGTGTGTGTTGAAGTGTTTTACCTCATTGTGGTTTTTATTTGCATTTATCTGAAGGCCCATGAAGTTGAACATTTTTCATGTCTTTATTGACCATTTGTATCTCTTTTTTGGAGAAATGTCTATTCCTATCCTTTGCCCATTAATTGGGTTGTCTTTTTATTGTCAAGTTGTAAGAGTTTTTTTCAAACTATATTCTAGATACAGGTTCTTTATCAGATATATAATTTACAAATACTTTCTCTCAATCTGTGCCTTATCCTTTAAATTTTTGGGTCGTGTTCTTTGAAACACAAAAGCTTTTCATTTTGATGAAGTCTAATTTGTCTGATTTTTCTTTTGTTGCTTGTACTCTTGGTGCCATATCTGAGAAACCACTACCTGGTCCAAGATCATGAAGATTTGTCTGTGTATTCTTCCAAGAGTTTAATAGTTTTAGCTCATAATTTAGGTCTTTGATTCTTTTTTAGTTAATTTTTATTTATGGTGTGAAGCAGGGGTCCAACTTTATTCTTTTGCATGCAGATATCAGTCTTCAGGCCATTTGCTGAAAAAGCTGTTTTTTTCCCAGTGAGTTAACCTGAGACCCCTTATTCTTTTTTTTTTTTTTTTAAGATTTTATTTATTTGACGGAGCTCCTGCATGTAAACAGTGGGGGAGGGACAGAGGCAGAGGGAGAAGCAGGTTCCCTGCTCATCAAATTCCCTTGCGGAGTTTGATCACAGAATCATGGGATCATGACCTGAGCCGAAGGCAGACACTTAACCAACTGAGCCACCCAGGTGCCCCACAGCCCCTTAGTCTTACGAATCTCATGGTCTATTTCTCCTGAGACCAGTCTATTAAATAGTTTACTAATTTGTCATGATAAACTTATTTTTTTGATAAACTTACGATTTTCGCACATTCTTTGTAGTTTTGAAATTAGTATTGAGATGAATTATTTATAAACCTTAAAACTTAAAAATATTAGTAAAATGTTTACTTTTAAAATATTAGTAGTAATAATAAAAATAATAATAGTTTACCTTTATATAGTGCTTACTACGTATAGGTATTATTTTGAGAACTTCACATATGTAACCTCATTAATCTCTTTAACAGCCTTATTAGGAAACTACAGTTATTATCCTTTAAATGGATGAAGAAACTGAAACAGAAAGAAGTGACCTGTTCAGGGTCACACGGCTAATGAGTCTTACAGCCACATCACCCAGAGGCTAAAGCATTGCAGTATAGTTTCTTTCTATATAATACTTTTTAAAACATCCTCCATAACTAGAAATCTATGGAAATGGTGTACAAGGAATAGCAGTTATCTCCTCACCTTCTTCCTCTTTCCTAAGCAACACGAACGTATACATATGCATACGTGGGTGCACACAGACACACCACACACACAAACAAAACCTCATTTGTTGACAGACATCCACATTGACCTACTGAAATGCCAACATTTGAGATTAAAATTATTCCTTAAGGTTTTCAGGAGTCATGAATTTTAATGATAAGGTTCTGTATTTCTCTAGAGATTTACAAGGATTATAATCTATCAGTATATGCCAGGTCATAAAAAAATGAAACAGTGACAGGTTAATATTGATGGGCTGAAGGATTATATCATGGACTGCCTCGAGTGAGGGTCTCCATTGACCTTGGCAGTATGAGTGTCTGACAAGGGTGATGAAAAAGTGAAGTGAAATTAAAAGTCACAAATAAGCCTTGTCTATTCCATTGATTTATATAAGTGAAGTATACTTCTAAGAAATGGATCTTGAAAATTTGGTTTATGTAATATCTCTTAACTTCAAATTTAAATGTATTTTCATTAGGTGGTTGTAATCTGAAGAATAAATCTACTCAGGCGTTGGAATATTGTGCTGAATTACTAGGTTTGGATCAAGATGATCTTCGTGTAAGTTTAACTACAAGAGTCATGCTAACAACAGCAGGGGGCACCAAAGGAACAGTTATAAAGTAAGTTCCTTAACTCCTTGCTCTGTAAAAATCCTGCCTTGTGGTTTGTCAAGAAAAAAATCTTTCTTTGAGAACACTGAGATTTAAAGTTGATCTTTATGTATGATTCATTCTTTTCATTATAATGTTCTAAAATATGTGCTTGATAGATAAGAATTCTGTGCACCTCACTGCAGTAATCTACATAAACAAATGCTGACTTCCGCAGCTCTTAAAGTTGTTCCTTACAGATATGCTGCATGGCACAGATTTGTAGTTTATAAAGTAAGAGAGGTTTACTTTTGTACAACTACAAAAAATATGAGTTGGTTATGTTAATATTTGTTTTAGGCAACAATTTTTTTCAATTTTTCAAGACTTTTTTTGAGATCGAATTCATTTTTCTAAAGTGTACAGTTTAGTATTTTTTAAGTATATTTACAAGGTTGTACAACCCATCACCATTTAGTTTCAGAAGGAAATAGATACTTTTACTGTAAAAGTGATTTTCCTTACAAATGGCATGTTCTAAAACTTAAAACTCACTTTAGTAAAACACTCAGCAAACGGAATTTCCCCTTACCTCTTGGATTCTTCATTTAGAGGAAATTGCAAATGACAAGAAAATAAGAGCCTACCAAGATTTCTCGAATCTGTAACCAAGAATTCTAGGTTGTATTTGGGTCTCTGTACACTTTTGGCTCATTATCCTATGCTTTAGGCATTTCTGTTTTTGATACTATAAAATAAAATTGATACTCAGCCATCATTCTGAGGCACTGTAAGGTCTTCATTTGTAGGGGAAAAAGTCAGATCCTTTATCCCTTGCTAAATAAGGCAGTCAGTGAGCTCTAGTGACATATTTCAGGAAGATTTTCAACAAATTAAACCAAGAAGGATTTAAAACAGACTTTTAGCCACTCAGAAAATTTGGTAGCTCTTACATTTTGTGAAACATTAGCAAGGTATGTTTAGCCTGATTCTTTGCTAAACTGATTCTAAATTATTTTAAAGTAAACCTTAGCAAGGAGAATGTATAGTAGTGCCATACAGTTGCTTTTCCTTGGAGGTATTTCTGGGGCCCAAGGGAAGTCCAGTAAAAGCACAGATGTGTGATCTTCAGGTAGCATTTCCTTCATTTCCCCTTTGTTCTAAAGCAGTTCTTTTATGTGTTTTATGTATGGAGTACTCACAGAAGAGTCACTTTAGGAAGGGGTTCTGCTGCAGGAAGAATAAGTTGGAAAACCAGTTTAGAAGGAATTCAAGTATCAGTCTGACCTGAAAGACTTTTAAGATTACTTCCAAATTTGACATTTTTTTTCTGGTGCACCCATGGTGCCTCATACTTACCCTTATGATAGCCTTTAGCATCGCTGTTTGAAAATTCACTTTTATGGCAGTTTCTTCCATCAGACTATAATCTTCTTTAGGAAAAAGGCTGTGTGTCTGTATCTGCAACACGTAGAACTATTGTGTAGTTACTTTTATTAAATGATAGAATTGGACAGTCCAGATTTTAAGATGTAAACATTTCTTCCTAAACAGTGTTAAACAAGGTACCATACTTTAAAGTTACCTGAATCAGGCACCTGGGTGGCTCAGATGGTTAAAGCGTCTGCCTTCGGCTCAGGTCATGATCCGAGGGTCCTGGGATCGAGCCCCACATCAGGCTCCTGGCTCAGCGGGGAGCCTGCTTCTCCCTCTCCCTCTGCCTCTCCCCCTGCTCATGCTCTCTCTCTGTGTCTCTGTGTCTCAAATGAATAAATAAAATCTTTAAAAAAAATAAAGTTATCATGAATTAAACAGAGTTTCTTTTGCATTTAAAGAAAGTCTTTGAAAGTCAAAAGGAAGATTATTCCTCTGAATAATTTTTTAATATATTCAGCATATACAGTAAAGCATAAATTAAGATTAAACTGTTTTTTGAGCCTAAACTTCTTTTACTCAATAAAACATTTTTATCTATTGTAGATAATTTCTTTAGTTCTTTTAGTATGCTTCTTAGCCCCATTTATCTATGCCTATTCACAGATGACCTTTTGTAGCTATTTATTTTGTTCTTCACAGTGAATGTGTTTGGATACACTTTGATCTTGGTATCTGGCTTTATTTTCACAGTTATTACTGTAAAGAATTTTCATTGGTATAGTCTTGTTTTATAGGGTACCCTTGAAAGTGGAACAAGCAAACAATGCTCGTGATGCCTTGGCAAAGACTGTCTATAGCCATCTTTTTGATCATGTGGTAAACAGAGTAAATCAGTGTTTTCCTTTTGAAACATCATCTTATTTTATTGGAGTCCTAGATATTGCTGGTTTTGGTAAGTATAGTTTTGTTTGTGAATCTGTATTTGGTATTTTTTATTCAGTTTTTCACATATATTTAAAATATAAATTCCCTTGTAATACCTTTCACTTGATGTATTTTCAGTTATATGTCCATACTTACATTTCATTTCATATGATTTAAATAGGAAGCTGATGCTTAAAAAAGGGAAAAACTCATAGATTTTGGTCACACTAAGGCTGAAATTAAAACATGTTGATTGAGGGGTGCCTGGGTGGCTTAGTCGGTTAAGTGTCCGACTCTTGATTTTGGCTCAGGTCATGCTCTCAGGATCATGAGATCAAGCCCCGCATTGGGCTCTGTACAAGGTGTGGAGCCTGCTTAAGATATTCTCTCTCTCCCCCCCTCCTGTGCCCCTCCCCCCTCCCTCAAAAAAAAAAAGAAAACAAACAAACATGTTGATTGAAACCATTATTGTTAGGGGATGTCTCTATCCTAAATGAATGCAACTGAATAAAGGTAAAGTTTTGAGTGCTACTAATAAAGAGGATTAAGTCATTAAAACCACTGACTGTAGTGTAGTGCTGGATACAAGTTACCTACCATATAAGCCAAACTCACTGCTCTGTGTAGAAATTCATCGTTAGTATTATGAACAGATAGCTATTTCCAGTGAATTTCCACCAAATGAAAAAATATTTATATTAAAGATATAGTACATAGTATAGTACATGAAGTACATAATACATGTATTCAAGATATTATATGTTAATTTATATTCAAGATAAATATTTGAGAACAACCACAGGGCTGTATAATCAGAAATGAAATGAATCACTAACATCTGAGTGCCATGTTGTTTTGAATGACTGTTTTGTAAAAATCTCAAAGTAAATTTGACTGTTTTTATATTGGGCTTTATCAATGTGGGTGTCCTTCTGGCTGTGTAGGAGTGGTGTTTTCCTCCTGTGTAGTTTGTTTCCTTTGCCAAGGGGAAGAAGGTATGAGTGTTTACTTTTTGGGAGGGGTGGGTAGAGTTTTAGTTTCGATGTGATATATATTTTAAAACTTTTAATTATTATCTTTTGTTCAAAGGTAGAAAAACACTCATCACTGACTTAAGATTTCAAAATCTTTATACATTTGTTTCCAAAATCTTTATACATTTATACATTCCTGGTCTGCACTAGCTTTAGTGTAACAGGCACATACACAGAATCATAACATTTTAGAGCTGCAGGGATCTTAGAGATAATGTAATACAGTCTCTTCGTTTAGAAAATGAGTTAGTAGGGCGCCTGTGTGGCTCAGTTGGTTAAGCGACTGCCTTCGGCTCAGGTCATGATCCTGGAGTCCCAGGATCGAGTCCCGCATCGGGCTCCCTGCTTGGCAGGGAGTCT